TAAATCTCATCATCACTGACTGCCAGTTATGTTAAGGGAGAACCCTCAGGATAACACTTCTTAAAAAACTCCAGTCGCATGCATTGAAATTCAGGTCATTCATTTAAATTGAAACAATGTTGGGTTTGCGTTTATGAGGGTGATTTGGATGAATGAACAAGAGAGGGAAATGAAACAAAGCCAAAATATCACAACGTTTAGAAAGTATGCAAATGGTGATTATCATAGGCTTTCTTGATTGTGTTGATTATGAATGATGTTTGTGAACAGAGTGGTAAACTGTGGGATGGACGCAGGGTTGATTTATTGGTGTATGAGTATATAATAGAAATATGAGTACACTAGGACACAACATGTTAATAAGCCCTATCCCTAATGTTGCTTATTGAAAATGTATTGAATATGTTTATCGTTTTTTCATTTTTGAAACACTGCATTTTCTGATAATATTAATGTGTGAGCTTAATGAAGAAATTCACGCTTGAAGGTCCCCCATTATACTGTTTTTCATCAATATATTATAGGTCTCAGATATATACAGAACATGTCTCTGAAGTGTTTGGCTCGAAATACCAAACAGATCATTGCAGCATCCCATAATCCCCTCTGTTTCATCCCTGTTTCAAAAGCGCTGTTACTTTACTGTAGATGAAAATAAGGAGCCCCTCCCCACGCCCCTCTGAGAGAGATTTGGTTACAAAGAACACAATGGTGCTCTAGGAGGAGATTCAGGTGATAAGGGGGGTTTGCCTTGGTTGGTGATTGGCTAATGGTTACACAAGACAAACATCGTTATGACATCATAAAGTGGCCGAAATCTGATCAGCTCATTTTCAGACAGGTTTTTATATAAATGGATCAGGACAAAAAGAGAGAGAATCTTTTTTCCTGAAACCTTCAGAATCTCTTTACACAGAGGGGACACATGTTGATGATAAAAGGTTAAGAGTGTTTATTTATGGTCACGAGTTGTAATTAAAACAACAAAGGTTAGGGTTTGGGTTTTCGTCCGGATTAACTTGTACACCGTTCCTAATATTTAGTTTCACTAGGAAAAATTTCTATTTCATTTTTCCTAACCAACATTAAAAGGGAAGATGTAAATTTACAAGTGTCGGGACTACGGGACGACGTAATACTTCAGCGGTCATGCCGACCCTCTTGTGAGAGGTAAGTGACTAGTCGACCCTTGTTTGGTGCAGCGCGAGTTAGTGACCGATACGATGCTGTGTACATTGTCCGGTTGTACAATTGGGTAGACAACGCGACGAAGTTTGGGTGACACTGGTAGGGTATAGTTTCTACTATACATTATACAGAAGGAGGCTGTCGTCCGATAGCACAGCAATGTCGGAAGTGATCTTCCTACCTTTCTAGCCTCCCACTGAGAGGGACTGTGCCCGGTTGTAGACGACTGGGATCACTGGAGGATGGGACCCCTTCGACATGTTGTAGTCAAGAATGAGACACCTCCTGTCAGGACCTCTCGTTCGGAGAGAAACATGTCCAGTTGTGACGACCTTTAGGTGACCGGACCATTTTCCTGACAACAATTCTTTTCGAATTCAACAACTTTTTATCGTAGGCAACCAACCCACACGTTACGGTTTTAGACCTGATAAGATTACTAAGACAAAGCGAAATTTCCAGTGTCTAAATTACGTTTTAGGTGAACAGAGTA